AAATTTAAAAAAATAAAAAAATTTTAAAAAAAAAAAAAAAATTTTTAAAAAAAAAAAAAAAAAAAAAAAAAAAAAAAAAAAAAAAAAAAAAACAATTTTTGAAATGTTTTTTCTAGAATATTTCTGGGATTAATTTCAAAATTTCTGTTTCTCTAACAAAATTTTGGATTTTTCAAGCAGAAATTGTAACGTTTTTAATTTTTTTTAAGTAACTTTGAAGTTCTTAAACTTCAAAGTTACTTAAACTTTGAAGTTTAAGAACTTTGAAGTAACTTCCTTTGAAGTTTTATGTGTCTAACCTTGTATTACATACATAAATCCTTAATACTGATAAAGTAGTACTTTCAAAGTACTAATACTGGCAGATTTTTACTCTTAAATCAAGACATTTTTTCTGTTATAAGTGAAAAAATGTGCCAGAATAAAGTAATTATAAACTTAAAACAAGTCTCTACCTCTTGCTTATAAGTTAGTTTTGTCTTATTTCAAGTGTATTAAGATATTTGCACTATAAACTCCTCCAAAAATACTTGGTAAGATTATTTTTCCTGAACCCATTTTGTTTCCACTTCCCATAAATGGAAGTCTGTGCATCTGATAAAAGCGGTGAAGGATTTAATTTTACCTGCACTGTCCGCTGTCCGTGTCGCAACTGACGTCAGGAGAGACGATGCCGGGCCGAGAGCAGTTGCAGATCTCACATCCCACCACCGGGTGGCAGCCAAACGTCTGCGGCTCGCACTGGATGCACTCGGGGCGCAGAGTCCGGGGCGGACAGATGCAATCCCCGGTGACCGGCTCACACAGCCGCGTGCCGCACTTACAGGCTGCAGGGAACCGACAGAGAGAGGAAATGTCCTTCAGAACAATGCAATGAAATATACACATGTGAACATGGAACATATGCTTGAGGATTTATTTCCACCTGAAGCAAATTTTTATAATCATAATTCATCAAATTATTGTTTTTATTTACATAGAAAACTAAGCAAACTGTCAATTCTTATTGAATTGTATAATTTAAATCTTGTTAGCAAGCTAAATATGTAGCTCAAAACTAAATATTTACGCTTGCCAACTAAATATTTATATTCAAACTAAATATTTTGTATGCAATCAAACTAAATTGCAAACTACATTTTTAGAATGATGCTAAATATTTAGTTTGCTAGTCCCGTCCACTAGTTTGCTATTTAGTTTGCTAAATATTTAGTTTGAAGCCAATTTAGTTTGAAGATAAATATTTAGTTAGCAAAAAAATATTTACCTAGCAAGCTGAGCTTCAAATTAAATATTTTCTTTGCTATTTAAATGTGTAGTTTGGAGCTACAGTAAATATTTAGTTAGCCAGCTAACTAGATAGATATTTAATTAACTAAATAAATATTTAGCTAAACTAAATATTTATTCTGGAGCTAAATATTCAGTTTGGAACTAAGTACTTTATTTAGCTTGCACACTAAATATTTTGTTAGCAAGCTAAATATTTAGCTGCACACTATTCAGTTTGACAGCTAAATATTTAGTTTTTAACTAAACATTTAGCTTGAACATTAAATATTTAGTTGGAAGCTAATTTTTATAAATGAATGGAATAGATGATAGCCTTTGATATTAAATACACTCATGTGAAGTCAGCCTGCATATTAAACTCAGGAATAATCTTTCACCGATTCGGGACCTGACAGCAACTCGACTCACGCCTGCAGCTGGGAAACCCCCAGTAGCCCGTGGCGCACATGGAGCAGTCCCGTCCAATCACGTTGGGCCGGCACCGGCACTGACCGCCGAACGGCTCGCAGGCGTCGCTCTCGGCTCCGGCCTCGTGACACGCGCAGGGGATCGCGCCGTTGTTGAAAAACGCCGACAGTGACACCGCCGAGCTGAGGCAGAACGGCGAGGCAGTGGCGGGACTGCAGCGGAAACCACGTCAGTGAAACAGCAAGACATAAAATAAAACATTTCTCTGCTTGGGCCACTGACTTCACAGAGAAGCTGTTCTGTCCACAGTTGCTGATGAAGTCGTACGATTTGTCCAGAGGTTCTTCATTCAGGTAGCTGGAGCTGTAGCTCCGCTCAGGAACCACAAGAACGTAATCCTGTCGAGACATTAAACGGGAATTCATTCCTTCACATTACTGACAACAGGGACAGGCAGCAACTAGTTACATTCAGCTGAGTAACTTTTTTTACAGACCGTTTCATTAGGGAGGTCAAAAAGTGCCAAAATTTAATCTGCAACTACTCTGAAGATATTTGATCATATGAGTTGGAACAGATTCAGACCAGAGTTGGGTAGCTCAGTCTCATATGTTTGGCGTATTTTGGAAGAACAGAATCAATTTGACCATCTGAGAAACGAAAGGAAAATCTCACCAGCCACAAAGTTCTGCCTGCAGGAATCTGAACGGTGAGGAAAACGTCGTGGTGGGTCATATCCAGCATGATCTGGTTCTCCGAAACCAGAACGTTCCTGCAGCCGTAAGCATGGGGGCAGAACGAGGCGTTGGTCTGGCCTGACACACACACACACACGCACAGACACACACACACGCACGCCCACATATACACACAGAATCAAAGTCAGTCACCAAAGGAATGCCATTTTATTACATTTTAAGGAAATTAAATGTTCCTTTCTCCTTTTAAAATAAGGAGTTGAGTTATTTAATTGCATTTTTAGGAATCTTTAATATTGCGTAAAATAAGCTTAACTGATTAAATAAAAAATAAAGATAAAATAGATTTTTTTAATCCAATTAATCAATTAAATAATAATGACTGACAGTACTGCTACAATAATACAAAAACTAAAATAATAGTTAGCTGCAGTCCTAACTTTGTTATTCAATTGTTATATTTTTAAAAATTCAGTTTTCAGTTTCACACAGTGATTTTTTTGGCCATTTTTTTTTGGTCAAAAGAGACAAATTTTGTTGATTAATAAAAGCTATAAAAAGTGTGAGATATTTTTTACAGTGCAGTGTTACCCTGCCAGATGACGCCTCCGTTGATGTAAACCTGGACTGGATATGTGGGATGCAGAGGCTGGTGAAAATGGAGGATGAAGACGTAACGGCCGAGAGCATGGAGGCGAGCCGAGTACACCGCTGCATTCTGGGTAACGGAGACGCAACGGGAAACTTAAACAGGAAGTAACTGTAAAATGACCGTCTGTTAAATCAGCAGCTTTCAAACCTGCAGCGAGTCCAGACGCATGTGGAGGCTGCTGTCGGCTCCGAACGGCGGCCGGACGTCTCCCATCCAGACCGGCTCGTCTCTCTGGTTGGGGACGAGCGGCGGGGCGGCGGCGGGGGACGCCTGGACTGGAGCGTCCTCAGTGGACGAGCTCTGGCCCTCCTTCAGGACCAGAGAGTCCGACGGCGTCTGGAAGCGGGATGGGACGCAGGAGGAGCTGCGACGGACACCAATCACAACGTGAGGCCTTCATTTCTGCAGCTGCCTTTCCGTCACAAAGTCACACGAATTTTTGTCAAAATTCTGCTGATGTTGAAAAAACATCAGCAGCGTCTCCATTAAAAATCACACATGAAGAAGTTTGTTCACGCGATAAGTCATTAACGGTGACATATTCCCATTTCTCCTGCCTTTTATAGTAATTCTGTCGAAGTTCCTGTTTTATATTTTTGTATTTATTGACAAATTAAGTCATTTTAACCTTATTTATTTTTAGCAAGACAACAGAAGGAACAACAGATGAAAAACAACCTTTTGGCGAATTCAGTGAATTAACGTCCCGACCAATCAGGGGCGAGTAGAGGATCCAAAAATTAAACTCAACTAAAAACAGAAAAAACTTTAACACATTTTTACTCAAGTAAAAAGTATCGGTCCAAGAAATTACTCAAGAGTAAAAAGGTATTTGAATTTCTTCTTTAATTTCTGCGCTTGAAAAGTCTAAAAATGTTGAAAACAGAAATTTTGAAATTAATTTCAGAAATTATCTAGAAAAAAATTGAGTTTTTCAACATTTCAAAAGTCACAATTTTTTTCTTCAGTTTTTTAGGAGCATGTTTTTTGTAGAATATTTATGATTAATCTAAAAATTTTGGAGATTTATGGAGTAAATTTACTTACAATCAGAGGTGGATAGAGTATCAAAGTTTTACTCACATGAGAGAAGAAATACTTCTACATATTCAGGTAAAAGTTAAAAAGTATTTGGTAAAAAATAAACTCAAGTGCTGAATAACTGATCAAATTACCAATCATTTAATATTTAAAAATGACATCATCAGATGGACCAAATTATAAAGTTGAGTGGAAATATTTGTATTTTAAGTTTGAAAATGAAAATGACATTAATTCATATAAGTAAAAATAATAAAATCGGGCAATGTGTGTGTGTTTTTTTTTTACAAATCGGTTTCTGTCAATAAAAAACTAATTAAACTTTGATAAAAACTGCAGGTCTGTGTCTGGTGAATGTTTGGTGTTTCATTCAGTGGGAAGAAAATCCAGAAATTTTACTCAAGAGTAGAATTACTTCATAATAAACAAAAGTGAAAAAAAAAAAAAAACCCTCCTAAAATTAAACTAAAGTAAAAAAAATCCAGCCATGGCGCCATCAGCCATCAGAAGAGACGCGTTGGAGCGATAAGCTCCGCCTACTTGGGAGAGGCTCTGTAAGCGCCACAGAAACAAACCATCGTCTCCCTCCTACTTCCTGTCGTCGTCTTTGTGGTTTTTTTACTGATCATGTGACTCATGATGCAAAAAAATAAGTGTTTCCACTGCAGTTTTGTGAAATGCGTCTATTTTAATATTGATTCTCTCAAAATTGCTAATTCATATTTCATAATCTCACTTTGTGTAATCTGTGTTTACCAGTTGTCATAACCTCAGTTTGTGTAATCTGTGTTTACCTGTTGTCATAATCTCAGTTTGTGTAATCTGTGTTTACCTGTCGGGGGAGAACTGTCCATGCGTCCCGATGCAGTGCAGTCCAGGCTCAACAAACTCCATGGTGAAATCGTCTTTGGGCACCAGATACACTTTGTGCTGAAAACAATGAAAAAACATTGAACAGATAAAAGTTCAAACACGTACAGCTAAATTAATTCAAATAATGTGATAAACGTCAATATTTTTGTCCCTTATTTTAGGAAGTGTAGAAGATATTTCAAGCCTCTATCTCGTAATTAAAGCTGCAGCAAACAATTATTTTAGATGTCAATCAATCACTTATTCTGATGATTAATCAATTAAAGCAAATTCATTTAACCAGTTATGCATTTTTTAAATACATTATTAGAAATCCAAATGAAATTCAATTATTTTTTTAAATAAATATTTTATTGCCTAAAAACAGCATTCCTTCAGTGGAAGCTTGATCACTTGTAACAAAGGACATCAACATTTCTGCTTGACTTATTTACTGCTCAACTCTGTGAAAATGTAAAGTCACGGCGCCCCTCCCCATCTAGCTGCTGGGAGCCTGACATGCTCAGAGTTTGGTTCTTCAGGTAATTATTCCCCTTCCACTGATGATAAACGGATTCGGCTCGTCTTTGTGACGGGACAGAAGAACGATTCTCACCAGGAAGAAGGAGGCGCGCTCCGACGACAGCTGGACGTCGACGGCGGCGGCCAGAGAGAAAACCGCCACCCTGTTCTGCTCGTCGACCGCCACGACTCGACACAGGAAGCTGCAGGACGCAGACAGGAAGATGAAGACGTGATGAAAGAACCGCCGACCGAGAACAAACCAGAGCTGGCAGACAAAATGTTCGTTTGTGTTCGTTTCCATCCTCATGTTGACACATGAAGGATGCTTCTTCAAACTATTTTTCTATTTGGGACGAGAGATTTCCTCCACTTTCATTAGTTACAGTTTCAGACATTCAGGGTCGAAGGTGAAGGAAGCAGAAAGTTCAACACTGCAAAAACCAAAATCTTACCAAGTCATTTTAAGTCTAGTTTCTTGTGCAAATATCTTGGTACACTTAAAAAAAGAGAAAAAACTAACTTACAAATAACTTCAGCGAGAAACAGGAGCTGGTTTTAAGTCAATAATTCCTTATTAATGAAAATATTGATTCTTACTGGCAGATAAGAGATTTCTCCCATTTTGTACGTGAAATAATCTGCCAATGAAACTTTGGAATATTTTCCTCAGGAATGATCAACTTAAAGCAAATTCTCTTTTCTGCCTAAAAGTTACTTCTAAGTTAGTTTTGTCTTATTTCAAGTGTGATAAAGATATTTTCACCAGAAGCTGGACCAATAATACTGGGTCAGATTTTGTGTTTTTGCAGTGAATTTATAAGTTTTCAGGAAAATATAGCAGCTTGTTTTACTTAAAAAAAGAAATTTTTCACATGGTATAAGTGAAATAATCTGACCGTAAAACTAGAACTTTTTCATCAATATTAAGGAATAATTATGTCTTGCTGAACTTACTTATAAGTTAGTTTTACCTTATTTTAAAAGTAATATGACATTTGAGCTAGAAACTAGACCAGAAATACTTGGTAATATTTTGTGTTTTTACAGTGTTCTTCAGGACAAATTTACAGAAAATAAAGTTTTTCATCTTTGAAGCAAAATGAATATTTTTTGTACAGTTTTGCAGCTCTCTGTTTTTGTTCCCAGAAATTTGCCTTTTTTGTGAGTCTGTATACTTCAGTTAACGATTAATCGATCAGATATTCAAACAGTCGATTAATCGTTTCAGCCCTAGATCAAATACCTGTGTGGTTCAGTTCCAGATAGACAGGAAGTGGGTCAGAGAGGCGGACGGAAGGACAGGGGTTTATTTACCTGAACTTGCAGTGCAGCAGCGTCACCAGGTGGCGCTGCGTTGGCGCTCCAGGCGAGTTGACGGCAACGCTCAGCGTTTGCGGCAGCTCTTCTTCGCTGGTGTATTCAACCACCAGCGCGTAGTCTCCGGGAGAGGCCAGACGTCCCCGCAGCTCGATGCTGATCTGGACCAGAACCGAACCGTTACAACATCTTCCCCTCTTTTGCTGCTGAAGTGTGCAACTTTCACAAAAACATGATTTTTTTCCAATTTTGTTAAAACGGTCTGCATGTCATGACAGTTTGTTGTGGGACAGATAAGATTGATGTCCTCCATCTCCTCCCTGGCCAAAATCAACCAATGAGAGCCAGGAAGAGGGTCTTTGCTCTGTCAATCAACCTCATGTACTCGCTGCTAGGGGTGCTAATGGAGAAACAGCTTATCGTTACGGGGAAACCTTTTATCTGCTCGCTATGCTAACTAGCTTAGCATTGGTTGCAGGCTATGTTGTGGTGAACCAGCCATAGCTTAGCAATGAGCAAAGATGAGGAGGTGAGCACGAGAGTGATTGACAGCGCTAAGACCCGCCTCCCGGCTCTGATTGGTTGTTTCTGACTGAGTGGTGAATTTCTGCAGTTATCTATGTAATTTCACAGATTATCTACGTAATGATAATTTTAACATGTAAAGAACTTTCTTTTTTTAAAATAGACGTTACATTCTGAAGCTTTAATGACTTAATTACTCGTAAAACATGTGAAATAATCAGATATTCCAGCGGTCGTCTTACATCCAGCCCGCTGCAGACGGCCATGTCGGGGTGACGCGGCGTGACCCTCTCGGTGGGGCACGGCCGCGGCAGGTGGTTGTCATGGCGACAGCTGGCGTCGTTTCCGGAGATGGAGGGGAAAGAGTCCAGAGACAGGTACTTGTACAGCAGACAGCTGGAAAGATGTATTTAAAAGAGATGATAATGAACTTTGAACAGAAAATCTGTCATTTTAATATTTTATAGATGTTAAAATTAAGGTTGCCTGAACAAAATCCTTAGAAAAATCAAATAATAATATTTACTTCTGGCTGTTTTCAGGCACAGAGCTGTATGTGCAGGGGTCAGTAACTCTGATCTGGAGGATGGGAGCTTCGTAGTAGGCGCTGGGCAGCAACACCAGGTAGTCCTGGAAGACAAATTATAATAAAAAACTCAGTTAGTTTGACAATAAGAACAAAATATCATTGCAATATTCAGTGGTGCATTTTGTTGGATCAATGAAAGAAATGATAAAAGGATTATTAGTTATAAATCTGTCACTGCATCCAGTCAAAATCCTACAAATAGAAATACTTCTGTGAAAATATAACTTTTATCATTATTATTATTAACTTCAATAAACTTCAATAAGCCCAGAGGCTTCAGACGACACGCCAACGCTGCAGGTGTTTCTGTTACCAGTAAGATCCCCTCGGCTTCGATGACGACGGTCCAGGTTCCTGGGTTCAGGACGAACGGCTCCACAAAGCTGTTCTGGGGAACGTTGACGAAGGTCGGCTGGACACTCGGAGCAAAGACGATTTGTTTGGACTGTTCCGAACCTAAAAACCCAAATGTCAGAAAAAACTGCTTCAGTTTCCGAATCTTTCCATCAGAAACTTAAACTAAAAATCAGTGAAGTGTTGGAGGAACTCAGGAAGAGACGGAACTGATAATCTGCTGATTTCACTGCAAAACACAAAATCTTACCAAGCAAGTTTGGTCAAGTGCAAATATCTTAGTACACTGGAAATAAGACAAAAATAACTTAAACGTACATTTTCAGCAGGAAATAGGAGTTTAAGTAAATAATTCCTAAAATGTCGATGAAGTTCTTGCTTCATTGGCAAAATATTTCACTTATAACCTGGGAAAAATATCTTGCTATAAATGAAATAATCTGCCAATGAGACAAGAACTTTTTTTAATCAATATTAAGCTCCCATTTCTTCCTGAAAATTTACTTTTAAGTTAGTTTTGTCTCATTTGAAGTGCTCTAAGATATTTGCAGTAGAAGCCAGACCAAAAATCCTTGGTTGGATTGCGTGTTTCTGCAGTGTTAGGTGGGACGTACCTCTGCGGTTGGCCTGATAGGCTGTTATTTTACCGCTGGAGGTGACTCCCTCAGAATTGACATATCTGAGGATGAATCGAGTCAGATAGACGTCTGCCTCGCTCACATAAACCTGGAGCTTCACCGCAGTCTACCGGGTCCGAGGTGAGAAAGAAAATACGTAAGTCTGACACTGCTGACAAATCTACTGATCTGTGGCCCTGAAGAGGAAAATATACGGAGCTACAGACAGAAAGAGAAATCACCACCAAGAAGTTTGCATTAGCTGCAAATAAGCGACCTTCGTCTGACAGGACAGGCGGGAAAGACAGACAGGAATGATGATGCATCTCCACTAGTCTCACTACAGTTACTGCTTTTTGATTCTGCAAGAACATTATAAACACGTCGCAATGTGACGTCTACATCCCAGAGCTGCTAGCTGATTATGACTAGCATTGTTTTTACCTGTCAAGTTGTCAACATAACCTTAAATGTAAGTGTGATGAATACAATAAAACAGTTAAATTTTTCTAAATTAAACTAAAAATGGCGAGGGAGAGGGAAGTGGGTCAGTTATGCTAGCTTGACTATGACAAACCTAACATGTAGATGTGCTGCAGAATCCCATGTTTCGGTTCAGTTTAAAATAAAAACGCAACCGACACACCAACTCTGACAGATCATCATCAGCAGGTGTTTAAATGAGTCGATCTCTGCAACAAACAAATACATCAGGGTTCAGGTTGTTTCCACTGTTTCACCTGGGAAGAATAATTATTAAAGTTATGACTGGGATGAGATTAATATTTTAATTTCTGGTTGCATATCTGGAGACAAGAACTTCAAGTTATCTGGTCGTTGAGTGTTTGTTAAAATGTTTGTTAAAGTGTTTAAGTCAGGGGTGTCCAAAAGGTGGCCCGGGTCCCATTTGTGGCCCTTGAAATGATTTTATTTGGCCCCTGACCAAAAGTCAAGATGGTAAAAATGTTGGTAGAAAACAATTAATGACCCCAAAAATGTGGAAATTGTTTTATTTTTAAAAAGTCGACAATCTGAAGCCATTTTTATGTTTTGGATCTTTAATGATAAAAAAATTTTGTAAAATAAAATGTGTTTGTTGTTAAGCAGGAAGATAAACCTCTCAAACTAAATTTAATAAAGTTTTTGGTCCACCAGTAAAGTTTGAATTCATCTGGGCATAAACTCAAAGTCCAGATGAATAAATGAGCTTAGAAACATTATTTAAAGAGGAGGTTCAGATCCATCACCTCCTTTTCCAAATATATTAAGTGAACAAAAAGACAGAAAAATGCATTTTTCCCTCGTTATCACTCACAGTTACCACAGTAATAACTCCTGCCGTCCTCTATGACCGACACTCTGCCCCAAACAGCAGAACCGGCCCTGTTGCTATAGCGAAGCGCCACACGGAAAAGGTCCGGAGAGGTGACAAACACCGACACCAAAACTCTGGACTGCCAAGGAAACGGAGAACCAGGAAAGAAGAGAAACGGGACAACACAGAAAAACAGAGGAGCCAAAAGTTAGAGAGCAAAAAGACCCAAGAGAGAGAGAGAGAGAGACAGAGAGCGAGAGAGAGAGGGAGAGGGAGAGACAGAGAGAGAGAGAGAGGGAGAGAGAGAGACAGAGAGAGAGAGAGAGGGAGAGAGAGAGACAGAGAAAGAGAGAGGAGAGAGAGAGGGAGAGGGAGAGACAAAGAGAGAGAGAGGGAGAGAGAGAGAGAGACAGAGAGAGAGAGAGAGGAGAGAGAGGGAGAGGGAGAGACAAAGAG